TTTGCACACATATGTATACATTAGGAACATCACAAAAGGAATGACGTAATCTGAAAGCTGCACAGATAAAAAGTGGTTCAAGGGTGGTCCCAAGAATCACAAAACCCACATGGTGATATTTTTGTTACATCTGAACATGAACACTGGAGCAGAACTGAAACAACAATAACTGTACATCTTAACACACACAAGATACAAACACCAATCAGTAAAGTAAGCTAGCAGAGACATCAATGTCAGTATTTTTAACTATAAACGATCAGTAATATGAAAATTAAATAAACCTTACTGGTTATCTTAACCAGTGCAAGTTTTGGTAAATAAATTATCTCACAAAATATTTGTTAACTGATGCACAGCTTGAAAAACAAACACACATATGAGCTGCTTGATACTAAAACTCCTTAGATAGCCCCCTTTCCAACAGAGAAATTTAAAAAGGAAACTACCCTTGTCAGTAATTATTGCAATGAACACATAGCCCTATACATATATTTTTAATAGATCAATTGGCACTGGATGAGTGGCATCACAGTGGCTGCTTTTACTTTCCTAAACTATTCCTTCTTTCAACTGTATGCCAGGTCGACCTGAGAGCTAGAGCAATTATTAATAATCTACCAGACCTTTGGACTGAAAGGCCACCAAGCTACCGGAAGCCATAGCCTATATATATGTCTAAGCCTAGAAGTGTAAAGGCCTAATAAACTTATACCATAAAGGCCTAACACTTCACATCATAAAGGCCAAGTACTTTTTAACCTGAAGACCTAATACTTCACACCCTGAAGGCCTAGTACTTCACACCCTGAAGCCTAACACTGCACACCCCGAAGACCTAATACTTTGCACCCTGAAGACCTAATACTTCACACCCTAAAGGCCTAATACCTCACGCCCTGAAGGTCTAATACCTCATACCCTGATGGTCTAATACCTCATACTCTGAAGGTCTAATACCTCATACCCTGAAGGTCTAATACCTTATACTCTGAAGGTCTAATACCTCATACCCTGATGGTCTAATACCTCATACTCTGAAGGTCTAATACCTCATACCCTGAAGGTCTAATACCTTATACTCTGAAGGCCTATACTTCACACCCTGAAGACCTAATACTTTATACCCTAAAGGCCTGATACTTTACACCCTGAAGGCCTAACATTTCACACCCTGAAGACCTAATACTTTGCACCCTGAAGGCCTAATACTTTGCACCCTGAAGGCCTAATAATTCACACCCTGAAGGCATAATACCTTACACCCTGAAGGTCTAATACCTCATACTCTGAAGGCCTAATACCTCACACCCTGAAAGTCTAATACCTCATATACTCTGAAGGTCTAATACCTACCCAAAAGCATGGTATAAGAGTCGACTAACTGGGAGCTTCCTTCAAAGTCAGAGTGCATCTGCCTGAGAGGCAAGGAACCAGCAGTCTGCATACAAATGAGTCAGATCTGTTAAACGGACACACACTCAACACTTAGGTTCTGGAACAGGAATGCAGTCCAGAAGTGGATGAACAACCAGAACTTTCTGCCAGAGTTAACAGCTGGTGAACATGAAGAAGAAGAAGAAGGAAGACATCCTAAAGGACAAATACTTTACACAACCTAAAAGCCGAATACTCTATGCCCTGAAGACCTAATACTTCATGCCCTAAAGACCTAATACTTCCCACTCTGAACTGAAGACTTAATACTTCATGCCTAAAGGCAGTAAAACTCACGCCCTAAAAATCTAAAACTTCACATTCTACAGGCAGTATCTGGTTATGGGACTATATAACCATATCATATCTAAATATACCTTGAGAAGACTATAGGTTTTGAAAAAAAAAATTGCAGATAAGTCAACATTAATCTTGTAGGCAAGCTTAACAGGAGGAAAAACCTGCAGAAAATATGTGAAACTATCAGACCAGAGAAGAGAGCTATAAGAAAACAACAGATGACATGAAGTGGTGTGATTTTCTGCCATAAAAGATCACAAATACTTTCAATAGCTAGTAGAAGATATCCGGTTTTGACTTAAAAGATACAAAATAATAAGACAGCTGCATGCACATCAGCTACATTTTAGTTTATTTTGATATTTAAAACAGTATCAAAATGTCATGAATGCAACCAAAGTTCTGAAGCTATTATGTTCCAAGCTGCTTCCTAATGTAGGTATCAAAAGCAGTAACTGAAGAAAATTCTTATGTGTATCAGAATTTTAATGAACGTAAGAAAATATAATGCAACTCAAAGCAAAATATAAAGCATAAAAGCTAAACTAAAACATAATAGTGAACAGTAACCATATTCGACGTATTTAAACTAGTAGCAGACATGACAAACTGCTGTAAAGTTTATAATAACTTCAGCTGTGCTAGTTGTGGTGAGGTGATTTTCGTTGCAGGCTCGAGGGGAAGTTAAGGCTGTTATGCTGTGCATTAAGGGGTACCTTGTACTTCACCCTGGGAGACTGTACTGGTTTCATGGAACCTCATGCAAGAACCTCCTGCACAACAAATCTATGCCATACATCATGAATAATGGTCAACATACACCTGGCAGGGCATCTTCGAGTTGGTGGCTCCCTGAAACTGAAAATCTATGGCGCTCAACAGGCTACCCTTAATGCATGGGTGACAGTATCCACAAAAAGACTCATTGGGAGCACAAGTTCTTAAGCCCGCTGACCATGACTCCTGCCATATGATCATTTTAGTTGAAATGTCTACCAACTGAATATCATACTAAATAGAAAAATAAAAATGAAATGTCTATCAAGTGAAGAACCTCCTTAATGACAATAAGGTTCAAGTGTCCACTACTAAAGGTCCTAATCGTCAGAGTGTTGTGAACAAGAGGGAAAGTAATGCTGGATGCATACTTTCCAAAAGGATTAAAATGATCCTGTCTAGCCCTGATACTGCCTTGCGGCACTTGCACCAAAACTCCTATTTTTTTACAAGAACAGTCTAATTTAAACCAAAAAGAAAAAAAAAAGTTTCAGAGGAGATATTCCATGAACCTCCACTTCATACTGTCTCCTAACTTCTCACTTACAGTTTTTAAAATGTCGTGATGGTAGAGATAAGTAGTCTTCAGACAGAAGCAAATACACTTTAACCATTAAAAAAAAAAAAACTAAAGCTAAACAAGGCTAGTTTACAAACTCCTGAGGGAATTAAACGAAATTCAGCAAAGAGCACTTTTCTCATCAATGGTGCATTAAGATTAAGACGCCAAAAACCATTGAGACCATAGAAACCATTCAGACCAATCAGCACTTGATGGGTGATGTGGTCAACATTACACTGGCTGTTTTTCTTCTCAGACTTTTTTAAAGTCAAATCGACCGGCGAGATCCAGTTGTTTATTACAAATTCAGCCTGATGTGGATCTGAACCAAAGATTCTTAGGCTGGTAGGCAAGCATTTGGCTGCTGCATTACTGTGGCTATCTTTGCTAGGACTGCATGGACATAATTTCTCTCTGCGGGTTCTGGGGCCCCATTTTGGGGAAAATGAGAAAAGACCCACTGCCCCACTAACAAGTAAGTGGTAAAAGCTGACTAAATACAAGTGGTTCCTTCGATGCCGGAGTGCATCTACCTGAGAGGCAAAGAACCAACAGTCTGCCTACAAATAAGTCAGATTTGTAAAACTGATATGCCTTTAAATTTCAAGTTCTGGAACAAGATCAAAATCCAGACATGGAAGAACAACCAGAACTTTCTGCCAAAATTTACAGCAGGTGAATGTAAAGAAGAAGAAGAAAAAGATATGTTTTTGATTACTGATGCATGCACTGTAGAAACCAAAGCTGTATGTGATTTGCACAAATAACTTTGTGAGTGGGTGCATACTCCACAACAGAGGCTGGCTTCAGAGGATTCGTGCATCAACTGCAGCCTTTAGGAATTTTACGTAAGGAAGTAAAACACACTTTTTATTCCAGTGGTGCAACGGGCACATGATGCCAGATTAATTTTTTTTAGACTAATCAGTGCTCAACGAGTAATATGGTCAACATCATGTGAGTAGCCTTTACTTCCCAGCACATTACCTGGTACCCATGTAACGCTGAGTAAGCCTGGAAGCCAAAGTCAATCTGTAAAACAACAACAACAAAAATCCTAACTTTATGTGGCACCAAACCCAAGATCTTTGGGCCAGCAGTCAAGAGTCTAGCCACCAAACTACTGCGGCTGAAAATCACATGGCAAGGTAAAAAAAACACAGACAAACAGAACAGCAGTTGTTTTCTAAATTTCCTGTTAGGGAAATTAAACTCTGGCATGTCAAGGATTATGAAATGCGTCCACCAATCTCAGAGAAACATGAATGCCAACAATTATTCCAAAATAATATTGGAACAATTATTACAAAATAATAATGGAACCATTATTCCAATCTTAATGAGAGAGCAAATAGAACACACTATACATTAAAAAAAAATATTTAACAATGAATTACCGATTAAAAGGCACACCCCATGGTATTGAATTACATGCGTATACACTTATTTCTGTTCACACAAGCAGTATTATTAACATATTGAAAATAGAAATGCAGTACTACAGTGACAAGCGCAGAGGCCAAATCTTAAAGACAAGAGACCATTCTTGGTTTACTCTCAGTTCTAGAAAACAAGAAACAACATTCTTCACTAAACTTTACATTTTTTGGTGCCCTTCCTTCTTAAGATACCCTTCTTTCTGGTGAAAGAATGTAACATTAAACTCTTTTGGGACAACTGAATACACTTTCTATGTCAACCAGCTGTGACAGAATAATTTCTGTTTCAAGTAGCTAACAACACTCAACTTTCTGTGTCAAGCAGCTGTGACATATTACTTTCTGTTTCAAGTAGCTAACAACACTTAACTCTATGTGCCAACCAGCTGTGACACAATACTTTCTGTTTCAAGTAGCTAACAACACTTAACTCTCTGTGCCAACCAGCTGCAAGACTAAACTTTCTGTGCCACCTAGCTGTGACACTAAACTCTCTGTGGATCAGTATCAGAAACAATACCTGGCTGTGTGGGTGGCTTGGCCTGGACCTTGAACCAGGGCGTCTCCTTGTAGAGGAACCACAAGTTGCCCACCCAAACCAAGAAGTTGAGAAAGCCAAAGATCTGGAGAGAGAGATTCAGTGTCAGAAAAATTGAGACTGGCATACATACATCTAAAGTAATTATAGTAAAATATGAGCAAGTGTGAAGATCTTTTTCTTCTAAGAGGGAAATTTTTAAAATTTAATGATTAATCTCATTATTTAAAATAACTGGGAGTCCCCGAGGCGGAGCGGCTAGACACTCGCCGCGAATCGAAAGGTCGTGGGTTCGCTCTCTGGAGGAGCTGGACTTTTTTCAAAAATGACCTTGGCTCCCAGGTCGACCCATCCTTTAGTGGGTACTGGGTGCAGTCCTGGAAGTAGAGGCGACCGGCGTGATGCTGACCACATCACCCATCTTGTGCAGATTGGTCTATAAAAATGTAGGTCTAGCCCTATATGCCCTATACGCCTAAAGGCGTGGAAATGGATCCTTTACTTTAAAAAAAAATAACTATTGCCACTTCAAAAGAAAATTTTTTTTATTTAAAATATTCACAAGTAGTATAAAACTATGAATTAATTATCTGCACTAAGCATTTTGCTATTAACATGTCTAAAAAAGAGAAACAGCTAATTAGGTTCTTTCGTAATATCCTACCCTAGATGACGTAACAGGAAAGTCCAATATTTTCTAGGGTGGTAAGACTGGGTTTCTTTACTTTCTGATGCTTTTAACAATCCCAAAATATGTAGAACTGGTCCTAACCCCAATCTACCTATGTCCTACGAGAGAGCATAGTTCGCATGAAAGAATGCAGCCTATGTCCTACGACTGCATGCAGCCTATCTACCACCCCCTGAAAAATTAGACCATGACCTGTGGATTTCCCCTGTTTGGGGTAGGATATTAAGAAAGCACCGATAATTAAATTGTGTTTTAAGTTTTATTGTGTACAGATGATTTTCATTTAAAACAATGATATTGTACAGTCCCATTAAAAGTACTTTGGTTATTGTTCATATTGTGCTCGAATGTATAATCCATTCTGTAAAAAGGGGGATGAAGAGGCCATTATAAAACCAACCACCTTTGCTTTCCAGGAAATTCAACAACATTCATTTTACACTTCTTCTTTTTCAGCATTCCGAGTCCTTGAGTCTGGTAGTCTGGTAGTCTTAGTTTCAGCTTCATAGCAAACGGGTCACCCCATCTTTGCTCGCACTCCTGTGCCAACAAAAAACACACAGAATGTTTATCACAGTCCCTTGTAGAAAGAGTGACAGACTGCTGTCTCAGCATATCTAGCATACACGCGCATTAAAGCATATGGAAGCCATCCCAAGTGCTAACAGAAACAGTCCGACATTAGAAATGCAGTTCATCATTGATGGTAGCAGAAGTCGCCAACAGATCAGCAGTTGCCCACGCGATCAATTTTAATCACAATGGGCACCACCAGCATTGTACGACAGGCATCGCGCCATTTTCTGAATCTACAATACACACCACCAAGTTGGTCACAGTCGAAAAAACATTCCGAATGTAATCCGCAGCTCACAGTGCCATGCCATGCATTCAACTCAGAAGCTGGGCGACAAATCTATATCCAGTCTACACCGTCCGGCAGAAGCAAAAAATTTGCCTCTGCTTTAAACAGTGCCGCTGCCTAGCGTCCATTTTGACCGGAAGATTGAGGTTCATTGCTGCAGATATCACCCACCTCCACTCATCTCTCTGGTTGGCCTTTTCTTTCCAGTTGGTGCGACACCAAGTGTTTGTAGATCTATCCAGACATTATCTCTCCATCGTCTTCTTGGTCTGTCTTGTGTTCTATGACAATTCAGCTCCCTTGTGTATACAGTTTTTACCTCTTTGTCATCTGACATTCTCTCAATCTGCCTCTGCCATTTCAGTCTATTAGCTCTCATGTGGTGATTTACACAGACTATAAATTAAGTTTTTGCTTCTCAATCTCCATTTCCTGCTGTTTACATCTTTGATGGGTCCAAAGATTCATCGTAAGACTTATTCATTTTAAACTGTGAACATGAAAGCTCAAAACAATTTTTGAAATATTCGCTCTGATGGAGATTCAAAACTATGACCACTCAAGGCAGACTTCCTTCAGTAAGATCTGTGCAAAACTTACCACAGAAACATTGAGGCTGGCAAAGTTGCCTAGACTATTGGTAGTACAATCTTTTGCTGTCCTGCAATCAGGCACTTTGCTGTCACTGCCATAGATACCCCCATCTGCTGGATCTGTGTACATCTTGACATCGGACACACCTGCAGCCCATGCAGAGGAGGAGATGATCCACAGCAAGGCCAGAACAATTGAGATCGCAAAGTCCTGTGGAGAAAAAAAAAAAAAAAAATATATATATATACATATGTTGAAGTCAACATAAACTCCTACCACAATCCTTCTTCTTTCCTCTAGTCCCTGTCTGGCCAATCAGAATCAGGTTTTGAAGAAGCCTTAGCATGTGCATACAAGGTCCGACAATTAAGTAATGAGACTAATCCCATAAAAGTTTAAATAATCAACAGTTGAAGATATAACTTGTATTTATTCAAACTAAGCCCCCTGTGCAGTGATACAACGAGTAGCACGGTCTAACAAACACTGAAACGACTTCTGTAGTTCTTCTGTTGCTATGGCCCTTAAAGTCGATATTATGGCCCTTTAGATGTCATCAATATCGTCAAAGAAGTGTCCTTTCAATGGTAAATTTAATTTTGGGAATAGAAAATAATCAAAGGGAGACAAATCTTGGGAATAGGGCGGATGACTGAGAACACACACTTGTTTTGGGGCCAAAAATTCATGTTTTGATGGTGTCTCGTGGGTACTCAAACCCGCTAATGTTTTTGGGTCATCAGACAACGAATGCGGTACAAACCTGCAAGCAACTTTTTTTTCTTGCCAAAATCTTGCACTAAAATTTTATGAAGGGTCTCTATTTACACCAGATTCATCTGGCATCATCCTGACAGTAAAACAACGATCTTCTTGTATCCGCTCTGTGACTTTTGCAATGAGTTCATCATTACAAACAGAAACTGGGTGTCCAGGTCTAGTTGCTTTAGTTATCCTTTCTATGCCCCTTTTGAATCGTAAATACCACCTGAAAATCTGTGCACCAGATAAACGATTATCCTCATAAACTTGCCGCATCAATTCAACTTTCATAATGGCGCTTTTTCTGAGTTTTAAACAGAATGTTTAGCTTTTTGCTTCATGCTGATTTCGTAACAATGCACATCTAACTATGTCAATAAAATGGCGGCGGCTTGTTTGTCGTCTGCTTATCAGGCGGCAATGCAAAGTTGCCAGATCATAGGTAAAATTTGCCTCTTTGGATTCCATGCTTTGCTTAATAGATGGTCTTGGCCGTAATAAAATCAGTCTCATTACTTAATTGTCAGACCTTGTATATGCTGGTCGTGGGCTCAGTTTCTTATATATTCCATCTAACCACAGTTTGCATGGGTGGTCTCTAGCTCTGCTTCCATTGTGTCTAAGTGACAGGGCTGTCTATGGTGCACTAGACTGTGGTGGTCTTGACACATGTTCAAATCATTTGAACTGCTGTCCCAGCTTGTTTCCTGATACTGTTGTTTCTGATAACATCTCTACTACAATATCAGCCTTAGAAACACGGACATGAGATCACGCAACTTGCTTTTATATTGTTTTTCATGTGGGAGGAAGATCTTGTTATACAAGGCAAGGCTTCACAAACTGACTTTTTTTTTTTAAAAGCTGTGGTTATATGTTCTTAGGAGCTATACAGAGCCTATCCCGATGCATTGAAGTGAATCACGGACAGTCAGATGCTTCAGACATGTGGCTTTATAGATGAATGCCAAGAATACCAACAGGTTATGACAATATGTCTTGTGAGGAATTACCTCACTGAGAAAAGTGGTTACCCGCACAAGAAGGAGACAATTTACCTTCTTTGGCTACAATGTGAGAAGTGGAAACTGGAGTTTATCAGACAGCGAGGACAGTTGGAGGGCAAGAGAGGAAGAGAGAGACCTACATCGAGAAAAGATGCTGGATAGTTTGACATCACAGCAAAGAGGATCATTTGTGTCAGTAATGACTAAATGTGCAGGAGACCATGGACAGACATGACTTCCAACATCACAGCATGGACTATATAAAAAGAAATTTAATGAATGTACTCAATCCCTGCCTGGTCTTGACTTCAGGTTACTCTGTAACCGTCGAGAGCCCTAATATAACATTGTGGTTAAGAGGCCTACAGGGATCTGTACATGTAAGATTCTCATCCTTGAGGTGTAATCGTTATTGTGGGGATTGCATTCATGGAGAAGACAAACTGTAGTGCCGATTATTGATTTAGGAATCAACATCACAGCACATCAGGCATACCCAAAGATGCTCCGTCTCCTGCAGCAAATGTCTTAACCCTACCAGACCGCTCTCCCGTTTTTCCGGGAATTTCATAACTGTTCTGTATACCGCTGGCCCTAAATTTCGGCTATTTGCATAGTGCGTGAAAAAGATGCGTAACTGAATAAAAATAACCAACCAATCGTCGTCAGTCCGCTTTGTTAGAGATTGCAAATTTCTTCCCCGTGTGTGTGAATCAATTTTGTGTGGTTGAAAGTGAAAAAATTCAGAAAATTCAGAATGAAGCGTGCGGCTGATGAACCAAGTTCTAGGCTTTTCACAGTGCAAAAGGTGATCGATACTTTGGTTTATTCAGACTCTGTGATATATATATATATATATATATATATATATATATATATATATATATATATATATATATATATATATATATATATATATATATATATATATATATATATATATATATATAATATATATATATTATTTTATATATATATTCATTATCTGTGATAATTTCATAAAGAATACATTCTTGAAATGACACTGTCAGTGAGAGCGCAAATGATGAGGAAAATCTTGAAAATTATCAATCTTGAAATAGATCAATAGTAGGAGGAGGGGGTGTGTCCATCAAATGGCAACATCTGGTGTTCACTTTGTGAAACAAAGTTGATCCTGATGAGTGAATTTGCAAAGGTGGAAAATTTTGGCGCTAGATAAAAGGTAAGCCTATTTTCTACAATGTCTCCAAATTTCATCATATTCTAGCCACTCGTTTGCATGTAACTAATATTTTTGTATATCAAGTTGGTTTATTCACGCTAATGCCCAGGAGCTCAGGTTATAGGGACAGTTAGGTTCAGTGCCTTAGGTCTAGTAGGGTTAAGGTGCTTAGGTTAACTGATCCTGTAGCACACTGATTATACACACATTGTTCTCTTCCTCTCCTAGTCCCTGCTTGCCAATTGATCGTCCATACATTGTTACACATGTTTTTTGTCCATTCTTGTATCTTCTGTCAACACTTTTTCATATGGTCTTCAGAATATCTCCCTTGTCCAGTATGAATGTTCCTGTAGCTATCACTTTTGTGGCCAGAAAGTCTGCTCTTTCATTCAGTGCAATACACTCAGCTGTTGTGATGTTAACAAGAGTCAGCACTGTTAAACAAACAAGTAGTAGTGGAGGATGTGATCAACAGAATTATGAAGATTATACAGATACCACCCCCTCCCCTCCCCAGATATGAAAATGCTTTCGATATAAATATGAAGAAATAGGATATGAAGTGTATGAGTGGGATCAGGGCTAGAATAAAGGTACTTCAGTCATATCTTCTGCTTCTGCTTAGCATTCACCAGCTTTAAACTCTGTTTAAGTTCTGGTTGTTCATCTACAGCTGCATATTGGTTTTTGTTCCAGTACTTGAGTTTTGTGTGTATATCTGTTTTACAGATCTTGCATACCTGTATGCAAACTGTTAGTTCCTTACCACCAAAAAAAAGGCAACTAACTAGTAGTTGGCTCAAACTGGATCAATCTGAGGTTTGAACAATGGATCAACATCATGGCACATGGGTAGTAACCCATAAGTGCTCTGTTCTTCTTCTAGCTTAAGTCTGAGTCCGAAGAAGCTAGCACAGTGCACAGGCTTTGTAGCACTGGCAAGGATCCTGAAATACTGTGGATAGATTTTTAACCCCTCCAGATCATGAAGCCCTCGGCTCAAACCAGATGTGTTGGGCCAAAGGGTGCAATTACTGTAGTCTAGCTCTGTAAACCACAACACAATGTCTCCAGCTGTCCTTTTAAGGGCACAAACAGAAGAGGAGAAAGGTTTAGTTCACAACACTGTCAACTTACTGCAACGATTAGTCTGTTGTTCTTCCTGTAGCTGTCATCGAATACGATGTAGAGAACCAAAGCTCCAATGCAGTACAGGAACACAATCACACCTACAAAAACGTAGAACTCAGCAGATGACTTGGCTCCCGCCAGCAGGCAGAAATTGTCCGTTTTATTAGGGCTGCAGATGGGGGTGGGAATGCAGATGTCCTCCAAACTAAAACAGCCAACAATAAAACCAATCAAATATCTTCCCAAATGGAACAGCCAACATTAAAACCATTCACATATCATGATTTACAGTACCAACCCTGTAGTACAAACAATAAAATACAATACAAATGCACAACTTCAAACATTACCCAAATTTTCTTCAAAGTCAGAGTGCATCTGCCTGAGAGACAAGGAACCAACAGTCTGCTTACAAATAAACCAGATCTGTAAAAAAGATGTGCAGGCAAAACTTAAGTTCTGAAACAAGACTGAAGTTCATAAGGAAATGGATGAACATCCAGAATTTTCCATCAGAGTTTACAGCTGGTGAATGCAAAGAAGAAGATTTCAATAATACCCTATATCCTACCTTTAGTTTCTTTTAATTTGACTCTGTCTTTTATCTAACAATGCCACAAATCTGGCATATTCTGTTCTATCATGTGTCCCTGTCTCTCATATTCTCCCAGTAGTAGTCCCCTGTAGTATTTTATAAGCCATGGTAGAGTAATAGCCAGATGCTTGCTTGCCAACCTGAAGATCTCATGTTTGAATCCATATCTGTCAGATTTTGTTTCCAAACTGACCTTGCCTTAGAGGTCGACCCAGCCTAAAATGTGTACCAGGTAATTTCCTGGTAAGTAAGGGTGACTTACTCTCTAATTCTCTTCTCTCTGTTTTTTAATTTTCATTTGTTTCTTTGTATATATTCCAGTGCAAGGACAATTCTAGCCCTATTGTAATCAGCTTTTCTCGATGTGTCTTACCCATTTAATTCTTTGGTTCTGTATGTTCTAATGCAAGGACATTCTAATCATATTGTAATCACATTGTCTCAATGTATGCTACCCATTTAACTCTTTGCTTCTTTAGATTCAAGGACATTATAGTCATATTATAATCAGGTTTTCTCAATGTGATCTACCCATTTAATTCTTTGGTTCTGTAGGTTCTAATCATATAGTAACCAGGTTTTGTTGCGTCATATCCATGAATAGTATTTTTTCCTCACTTCTTGATTCATTTTATTTAGTTCTTACCCCGAGCTCTGCATTTATGATTCTGTAAAATGATGCAACTCTTTTAGCCCCAAGCAGTATGATTTGCTCTTGCCCATAGTCCCAACCAGTGCAGAGTATGTTGTCTCACATTGTACAATGGTCAGAGTATACAGAAGAAATCTGGCTTTCCCATTGGCCACTTTCATGTATATTTATTTGGTCTATTTAAGGATGCACTCTTGATTTTTCTTTATATCAGCTCAGACAACATGTAGAAAATATAACAGGTATAATAGGTGATAACACTTGATGTGCTGTTCAAGACTGAGTTAACAAAACTGTTTTCAAATCTATATATAAAAAAGACACAAACTTACTCATAAGGGTAGCCATATGAATAATGCACATTCTTAGCTGTTCCATTGCAATTGACAGTGAAAGCTGTAGAGGTCTCATGACTGGTAGTGGTGGCGAAAGCAAATATAGACAGCACCTGGAGGAGTTAAATACAAATACAAGGTTATATCAGGTGTACAATGTTCCACTGCAAATGATACCCACACTCATTTCTTTACAGTACACAGAGACTGCAGGTAAAATGGGAGACTGTGGGAGGGAATGGAGGGAAAGGACATAGAGAGGGGTGGACAGAGATGAAAGGTCAGTGAGGAGAGGGAGAGGGATAGTGAGAGAAGGGAGAGGGAAGGAGAGGAAAGGAGAAAGAGACAAAAGGAAAACAAGTAGAAAGAAAGATGGATGAGAGAAAGGAGAAAAAGACGGTGAGGGAAGGGGGAGGGGGCAGATAAAGACAGAGGGAGAAAGAAGAGACAGAGAAGAAGAGACAGAGAGAATGAAGAGGAATGAAAGAGGGAGAGCTAGAAAAGGAGAGGGAGAAAGAAAAATAGAGGCAGAAAGAAAAAGAGAGAGGGAAAACTCACTAATTCTTTAACATAACATTTTTCCCCGCTATTATTAATTCTCAGTTTCTAAAAGCACTTTAAAAAAATGGAATAAATGCAAACTGAACATCTACAAATAATTCAGACATTCTATTTAGAAAAAATCTTTTACAGACAGGAACATTAAATCGTTATTTTGTTTTTGCAAACAAGGAAAATTAAACTGTTTTTTTGTTTTTGCAAACAACAATGGTAATACAGAAAAATAAACATAACTGATAACACTATTTGTGTTTCATTACTCATTTGTTAGCAGGGTCCAATGGGTAAGAAAAAATACCAAGCATTCCACATCAGGTAACCAAGGAGTGTTCGAGTGAGACTGACTACTTCAGTGTAAATTTTAACTGCAAAGACCAAGACTCTGCATTGTGTCTGGGCCTATGATGCATTAGGAAAAAATCAGTACTTTGTAAAAAGTATAAAAACTTGACCTGTATACAATTTACCATTTTTTTATATATTGTACTATAATATGAAATTCTAGACTGGCACTGTCTTGGAAATAAATAGTGACCCACTGCCCCACTAACAAAGCCCTCCACAATTAGCACAAAATTATTATAAACTTTACAGCTGTTCATCGTGGCTGCTACTAGTTTCAATAAGTCAAACTTCTTCTTTTTCCTAAAGTCCATGTTGTGTGGCACTGGTAGTCATGTCTATCCACAACCTTCTGTCTCGTGTACTTTCAATTAACTCTGATACAGATGATCCTCCATGCCATGATGTCAGACTAACCAGTATCTTTTCTCTCGGTCTCCTGCCTCTCTTCCCTTCCAACTTTTTTTTATGGGTCATGAGATACTCCAGTAATTTCCCTTCTCATGTCATGCCATGACCAAAACATATATATGTTGTCTCTTTCTGATGTGGGCAGTAAGCTCTCTTCGTCAGTCAGTTACTTTCAAGACATCTTCTTTATTCTTATTATCTGTCCAGGATATTCTCATTAATTGTTTATAAAACCACATCTCAGCAGCGAACTGAACATGGTTACAGTTTAAATTACATTAAGTTTAACTTATTATACTTTATATTTTGTTTTCAGTATGTTGTAAAAGGTGATTAATGGGGCTGCTTCCTTCAAAGTCGGAATGCATCTATCTGCTTGATAAGTGCGGAACCAGGAAGTCCAAAAATCAACGTACAACTAGAACTTTCTGCCAGAATTTATAGCCAGTGAATGCAAATGCAAATGCAAAGCAGAAGAAGAAGAAGAAAAAGTAGAAAAAAAAAGGAGGAGGGGGAGAAGGAGGGTTTTTAATCAGTGACCACTGGGCCAGTAGGCAAGCATGCTAGTCACTGCAAAGTATGTGGATAATGTCATTAATAAAATAAAGCTACCATATTTATGTTCAACATAGTTCAAAGTGTCAATACATATTGCATTCCCTTCAATTAACACACCAGTCACAAGAACAAACGCACCAGTCACAGGAACAAAGTGCCAAGGAAACAGAGCCATGATCACAGTAAACAAACTCCTAAAAATAAACTTTACACCCATGAATGGAAAAGAGCAATTAACAGGCAAAGACAATGAATGCAGTAATTCATTCTACTGTTGATCACAAAATCAACACTGATAGCAAAATAATTGCACTGAAGGTTTGGTGACAAAAAAGAACACAGAATGAATCCGCAACTGCTTGATAATAAATGATGAAACAATGAAGATTGCATGCTAAAACCTGCATACTGATCCTTGATTACACTTTAAACTGTTAACATTGTTTCAGGAACATAAGGACAGTCCTACTGGCTGGCGCATGTGCGCTATTTCTAAAATCTTATTTTACCTTCTATGGGGGCATTTAACCTCTGCTCAGATAATATTCAAACAGCTTCCCATTGTATGTATAGGGACTAGAGGTATTTTTTATTTGTTGTGGAAGATAGTTCCACAATTGAGATGCGGAGTATGCCAAACTTGTTTTGTGTAGGTCTATCCTAGGATAAGGGATGTGTAATATGTTTAGGCATTTACTATGCCTTTCATTATATTTAAACAATGGCCATAGGTAACACAGAGCTTTCTGAGATACAATATTGTGAATAGATTTCGCCTTACTGAAAAACAGACATTCACAAAGTGGTAGTAGCATAACTCCTTTATATGTTTCGGAATTCACTGTTCCATGATTAATACTTATTAAGCGAATGTCGCGCTTTTGCAGTGACGTGAGCGGGTTAATAACAGTTCCTATATTGTGGAGCAATAGTTAATATATGTGTGGATGTGAGAAATATAGAATATCTTTCTTGTGTTTTCGTCAAGAAAGTATTTAATTTTTGCAAGCTGATAAACCTTTTAGCTGTTTGTTCACAGGTGATTGCACATGAGAGTTGAAGGTAAGACCTGCATCAATCACCAGTCCTAGTGCTTTGTGCTCAGTTAAACTTTCCACTAGAGTCCTCCCAATGTAGAGTTGAAGCGCTCTCTGTGACTTTAAACTATATAGTTTTTGTCTGATCGTTATTAGCATACATTTTTTTTAAAAACTAATGTGTATTTGTATATGGTTTGCACTGCTCCATTTGATTACATTGTTTAATTCTTGTTGTAATGACGACTCTAATACATTACATGTCAGAGCATTTGCATAGATGTTACAGTCGTCTGCGAATAAGTCACAGAAAAAAGACAGAAATAAGGGAAGATCATTGATGTAAATACTGAATAACAGAGGGCCGAGAATTGAGCCTTAAGGTGTCTCAGTATTTAAGGTACTGGTCAGCGATAGGGATTTATTGCATGAGATTATGTTTTCTTGTTAATTTTAATAGCTTATTTTTTTATTTTATTTTTTATTATTGTTTCTAATTTTAATTAGGGCTGTACGGAATAGTCGCTTCGTATTCGCTTCGGGGCCGAATAGTGGACCTAATAACTATTCAGTATTTAGCCCAATACCTGCGGTCGGGCCAAATACGAATAGTGGTTACCTTAACACTCGTTTCTGCATACACTGTGATGGACTGAAATAACTCTCTCAATAACTCTAACACAATAGTTGCTGTTGCCTAAGTCTGTCGTAGCCGGGGGACCTGCGACCCGGTTGCGTAGTACAGCAGCTAGCAAGGTCTTTGCCTGCTGACTCGAAAGAGTCATTACAGTAGAGGTTCTCAAACTGGGTACATATGCCAGGGGTGCCGAAGCGAAAATTAAGAAAAGTTGGCTATAAATTGTGACATAATTAAAGAAGGCATGAACATACTTAAAAGTTAAAATTAAATCGTCTTTCCTCGCCACTGGCGAAAAGAGTTTTTCCTTGTTTCACACTCAAAGTTTACCATACTGCATAAAATGCCAACAGCAGGGTGCTGAAAATTGTCTTTGTATTTATCTCCAGGTGCGACCGATCCTCCATCTGTGTTCGTGAAGGTGCAGCGGATAAGTAAGGTTGTGATTACACTTTGGCTAAAATTTTAAAGTGGAAAATGTGGTCTGTACAATAGTAACTGTTAGCCTCGTCAGGTAAGCACTTATATTTAAAGGCAATGCGTTGTGAGACGTTGAGAGTTCTGGACAATCAGTAGGCAGGCCAAACAATCTCTTGAGGCCTCAGAGATGTGGTTTTACAGAACAATGCTTAAAATATCTTGGACAGCCAAAAAAAAAAGCAACCAAGAGGTTTTGAAAGAGGCGGGTGCCCGAAGACAACTAATTACAGACATCAGAAGGAGACAGTCATCATTTTTCAGCCATGTTATGAGAAGAGGGAAAAGTGAACATGTAGTGACCACTGGAAAGATCTGTGGAAGGAGAGATAGAGGAAGAGAACGAGAGATGATTCTTGAGAGACTTGTCCATGTTTACTCAATTTATTTCTTAATAACCGACAAGTGGGAGCGTGGAAAGCAGTGGCTAGCTGTTCGCCTGAAAATGTCACGGTAAGTAAAAGCGGTCAGTAAACTACATCAACTATCGAGTGACCATTGATTTATTACAAATATATAAATACACGAGTCTAGCATCATATATCCAATGCACCATAGGTGTAAAGAGGAACCATTACTTTTAATTACTATACTGATTTATTACTGTGCTGATGAAGGCTCTCTAGCCGCAAAGTACACGCTTTTGTGTCAGTGATATTGTAAAACTGACTGGTTCTTTGATATTACCAAGGAAGCACACAATCAGAAAAATAAAAACAGCAACTGGAAAAGGCACATTTCGTGGGGAACAATCTTATTGCATCTATCACAGACTTTGGGGAGAAAATCGATATCTTTTATAAGTATTATCCCAGATTTTCCAGGGTGTCTCAGAGGCCCCGTGACGAATGACAACACCTCGACTTTTGACATTCACCCGGTTACCGCACAGCAATCAGTCAAGACAAAAACGGCAATACCCAACAAAAATACGCAACCTTAGGGGGCAAGCTTTTTCTTGATTGATCACATCCATCCACTGTAAGTAAATTGGAAAATCTAGACCCATATGGTTTTTAATGGGTGAGTGTTTGTGTGTATGTATGTATGTATGTATGTATGTGTGTGTGTGTGTGTGTGTGTGTGTGTG